GGAATGAAAAAATGCATTCAACATTTGAAGGGATTCGTTTCTATTTCACCATTTGGCAACATCGGTTATAGCTAATAAATGACAATGAATCTGTTACCTGTATGAGACAAACAAAGATGACATATTTTAGAGGCGTGCTGTTCTGTTTACTTATGTTCCGAGTTCCGAGACATTCTTTGACATATGACATTTTGTGCACGTAACCTATCTTCCTCTATATAAATAAGTAATATAATCGGCTTTATTAATCGAATAATTACAAATTAAACACAGTGTAACAATCGATGAAGGGCGAAGTTCAGCTTGTGCTGTTTTTCAACTTAACCTAACAACTTAACCTCAACAAAACAACTGTTGTTTATGTGGCTTGTGGAGGTGGTATTGAACTATAATTTATATTTTGCCTCAATTGTTGATTCATAAAGATAATTTTCCTTTTCCAAAGTAGAATATCTAGGTACGTATAAATTATTTCAACTTGATATAGACGCTGTTGCCAATATGTGAATCAGAAACAAATCGCTTCAAAAATTAAAACCCAACATTTGAAACATCAATTTGAATACTTTTCGAAGTGAATTTGAAAAACTCATGAATCAAACTCAACTTCATTTTGTTCAAACTTGAATTTGCTGTAATAACCTAAATTGAGGAACATTCCCCATTGAATGACATGAGATGAGAGCAATTGAGTGCAGTGCCTCAATCTGAAAATTATATCCACAATGGAACGGGTCATTCAAAGAACTATCGTCTTTTCAGATGTACTACAAAACAGACGTGACATTGGACCTTGGGGGCATATCTAACAAAGGAAACCAACAACCTCACAACAAGTATTTGGATGAGAACTCCGAATGCTAGTCACATTGAAAGAGGGGGTTAATATAACTTCATTTTTAGAGTAATGAAATATTGACAGCTATTGAAAATACTTCTTCAACACCAGAACTGAAACACGTCTTTCTGAGGTGCGTTTCGCGGATCAAGTTGGCATCATCAAGAGTTGAAGAAAGTGTTTTTAATACATTCATTTCACACCATTGAAATATTGGAAGTTCTTTACGCTTTGTCCTGATAACTGCCTGCTTAGTTCATAAATATCTAGAGATGTCCACATGCCATAGAATTGATGAAAACTGCTGGAAATTGTTGAAAACGGTACGCGACACTAGACTTTTGAATACCTTTCAAAGTTCTGGTGCTAAATGAAAATGCTGTTTTGGATTTACTTATGTTGTTTTCATACATTAAATTTGGCTACTCAATTTTATAGACTTTGTCTCAGGACGAAAAAATATTTTCCAATCGATCGACAAAATCATTTACTCACCTGCACCGAAAAACAAAAACTTTGACAGCAAGAATATCTCGAAGCCAAGGGCAATGATTTCCATATAGAAGGAAAATGCCCCTCTTACACAGATTGATGTGTAAGAAGCACTGCTAAATAAGTCTTGATGTTGGTCATACTCATATCGAAGTATTTCTTGTGCTTTGTAAGCTCTTATTGTAGTTAGTCCTTCTATCGTCGAGTTCAGATGGCCTACAAGAGGACTTCTAGCTAAAAAAATGTGTGGATTAGTTTATCATGATAATAATACATTTATTGCACTTTACTTGGCACAACAATAACATTTTTTCACGTATTAACAATGACATTTTTATGTGCAACCTGTTGACTAACAGTCATCCCGTTCAAAACACAAATTTGACTTCGATTCTTCAGCCCCATTTTATATTTTTTCAACCGTTTGATTTGGGTTTTTACTTCAAACTACCAAGAATGACCGCTTTCTGCATTTGTCTGGTCAAGATGTTGCCTTGAAGCGGGAAATGGTATAATCTTGGGATTCGAGGGTGGAGAGGACTCAAATATTCAGAAAAACCATTCAACGGAGTGGTCTGCGTTATTGATATCATCATATTATTATTATTTTTCTATAAGGTTACGCCGGTCGGACCCTGTTACTGAAACTCCGACATATCACCAATCAATAACCACTCTTCACACCGTGAGGTGAATAATGTCACTTGTCCCATAGAAAGCGAAGGACAGTTGTTTCGATAAGCTTATCCTTGTGCTGACGCAGGAATGAAAAGAGATCAGCGGCTTTGACGTGGGCATTTTCTTGAACGGATTCCAGTGACATAGTTATGACTACCTCGTTCAGAGTCGAAAACTAAAGTAAGTTCATCGGCCATTTGGGCTACTACCTTGGAAAGAAATGCTACAATTACTTTTCTCTCATGGTCGCGGGTCATGCAGAGAAGGGAATCTGAGCTCCTGATGACTTTATAGGCTCCATCGAGTACCATTCTGTCATGTGGACACTCCAAACTCGAAAGTCCATGGTATCCCTCTTGTCGGGGGAATTACAACCGTGGAACGGACGATTTAGTTAGCAAACTCTCATGGAGATGCACATTTTTCATTTCTTTTCGTTAAGTCAATACAGCTCCTCCCAAGTTCACTTGGCTACTCGAAAAGAGTAGAGTAAGATCAAAATGGCAAGCATAGTTGTGGAAACAACTTCATACTTCCCCGATAATTCTGATGACCAGATCTGTTAGAGTTTGAGCTGATACTTGCCGTGGAGAGAGTTCTTCACTTGGACCGTTGCATATTTATCCTCAGAAGCATAAAGTCTAAAAATCATCTATATGACTCTATGCCTTCGGCTTTTCCAGGGGTGCCACATTTATACTCTACCTACAGTATTTCTGAGCGAAACGGATACTTAATGGAAATAGTGAGATGCAGAAAAGAAGGGGACTAAGGGAATCGCCCTGAAATACACTTCTCCTAAAAGTGATCCACCCTATTTGAATTCTGGTCTGACCAGATGTTGTGGTAAAGTGAGTCCGCCAGTCGCATACCACAAATCTTCTGAAGAAATGCAAGATGAGATCATGCGATATTGTATTGAATGCCTTGCAATAATCGATCCAGGCTATAGAGAGGTTACGGTTATACTGTAGCTAGTCTTGCTTTAGACATCTATCGATGGACAGGTTCTCCAGCGACTCTCCTCCCAAACTCTCTCTGCTCATATATCTGCTCGAATATTTGGTCAACTGTGGTGAGTATTCGTCTGTATAAGATGCTCGTGAACAACCTATAACACAAATACGCAATCATCTGCTCTTTGTCCAGCCATGAGTTGTAAACTCTGTCCAAATGTCGTTGGGTGCTTGGTAGGTTTTTCCACCAATAAGTTTTTAGTCCACCTGGGACTGGAGCAGCAAAGTTCTTGGAACCCACAAGGGCTCTTCGAACATCATCTGATGTTATCGAGTTGCGCAGTTCATTAAGCTCTGGCTGTTGATACTTTCTGCTGAGAGCTTCGAACTGCGTTAGGGCCGGAGTGTCTGAGTTGAGTTGCTGCGGGTGTTCACAAATGTCCTTCCAGAAGGATTCCACCTGATCTGCGGTGGACGGATTATTCACAACACGTGGAGTCTTGCAATAAGCGAGAAGGTTCCCGTGATACTTCTTGCTCGCTCACCATCGACTTCTCAGCAGCACGCCTTGGCTCAAAGTATGATGGATACTTTGTAATTTAGCAGCGGCAGCAGCCGCCCATAACACCTTGAATACGAGACGCGTGTTATCTCGCCAACGTGATCTTAGCCTCTATCTTGTGTACCCGCCATTCAATATTCCAAATCGCAAAGCCAGGATTTCGTCTTCTCGACTCGGATAGCGATTAAACGGCGCTGTATTATTATTATTGGTTCTCATTTTCTCAATGGGCTACTACCTTGGAAAGAAATGCTACAATTACTTTTCTCTCATGGTCGCGGGTCATGCAGAGAAGGGAATCTGAGCTCCTGATGACTTTATAAGCTCCATCCAGTACCATTCTGTCATGTGGACACTCCAAACTCGAAAGTCCATGGTATTCCTCTTGTCGGGGGAAGTACAGCCGTGGAACGGACGATTTAGTTAGCAAACTCTCATGGAGATGCACATTTTTCATTTCTTCTCGTTAAGTCAATACAGCTCCTCCCGAGTTCACTTCGCTACTCGAAAAGAGTAGAGTAAGATCAAAATGGCAAGCATAGTTGTGGAAACAACTTCATACTTCCTCGATAATTCTGATGACCAGATCTGTTGGAGTTTGAGCTGATACTTGCCGTGGAGAGAGTTCTTCACTTAGACCGTTGCATATTTATCCTCAGAAGCATAAAGTCTAAAATCATCCATATAAATCAAATGAGTGACTCTATGCCTTCGGCTTTTCCAGGGGTGCCACATTTATACTCTACCTACAGTATTTCTTGCTCTTGCAATAAGCGAGAAGGTTCCCGTGATACTTCTCGCTCGCTCACCATCGACTTCTCAGCAGCACGCCTTGGCTCAAAGTGTGATGGATACTTTGTAATTTAGCAGCGGCAGCAGCCACCCATAACACCTTGGATACGAGACGCGTGTTATCTCGCCAACGTGATCTTAGCCTCTATCTTGTGTACCCGCCATTCAATATTCCAAATCGCAAAGCCGGGATTTTGTCTTCTCGATTCGGAAAGCGATTGAACGGCGCTGTATTATTATTATTGGTTCTCATTTTCTCAGCTTGTGTTGCATATACTTACTAGCAGCTTCCAGACGTTTGAGACTTCTTGCTGAAGGCATGTATATGAATCGCAAAAGAACTAAAGAAATTACTAGCACTATCGTGGGAAGAATGAATGAGAAACTAACGGATGCTATCAATCCAACATTCCCAAAAAGGCTGAAGCCAACCTGAAAACAGAAGAGGTAGGTAATGAACAAATGAATCTGGATTTACATGTACAGATTCACATATCAAGACAAACTTAAACTAGAACTAGAATTATTAAAATATCCTCAAGAGTAGAGAAACTTTTTCCTACAAGAAAATTCCCGATGTTATGCTTGAAATAGATAAAATGTCAGAATTGTAGAATACATCCCATGCGCATCGAATACAGGTTGTTCCAACCAAAAGTTGACGATACTGGGTACCGTTCGCGATCCAACCAAAAAGTGTATGATTCTGAAACCAATTTCAGTATCGTCATTTCGATACTTACCTTTGAGTAGAAATCGCCATCCCTTTATTTCTTAGAGACAACTCTTTTCGACAATCTTGTAAAGGTGTCAGCTGTTTGGGTATATGTGGTTCTGGCTGGATATTTGGTTCCAGTAACAAAAGTTCTTTGTACTTTTCACTGTGTTTTGTTTTGAGATGAAGTTTCAATAAAGTGCCACCTGCGTTCCGTGGATAGTTTTTATCATACTGTTTACATTTTGCAGATTCTATGTTGACCCAATTAAAAAATGAACAAATCAAACCCAAAGTTGGTCGCATTCTGTTCATATAAATCAATTCGGTACGTAACACAACACTTTTCCTTCAATAAATGGATTGATGTAGCCCTTACTACGTGGTAGAAAATAATTATGAAAAATGTGAAATAAGAATAGCACGCCTCTGAAATATGTCATCTCTGTTTGTCTCATACAGGTAACAGATTCATTGTCCTTTATTAGCTATAACCGATGAACCAAATGGTGAAATAGAAACGAATCCCTTTAAATGTTGAATGCATTATTTCATTCTTCTTTTTTTAAGTATTTAAATACTTTTTTAAAGAAAAGGGTTGAAATGATGAGTTCAAAATGCGTTGTTTTAGAGCTCTTTTATGAAAACTACTTGATTTTCGTCTGGAGGAACATTCCCCATTGACCCATTCCTACTTCGAGGTTTACACCAGCCGTGGGCAATCGTAACATGGCCATTAATGCAACCTCCTTAACGTACAGATCCAGAGGGGTCAGACCAGTTATTAGTTCCATTGTGGCGGTTGGTTATGTTCTCATATCTCCTGTGATGTTCAAACAAGCCAGTCGTTGTATTTGATATAATTTTTGGATGGCCGTTGCTTGTAGAACTTTCGGTCCCTATGCAATGGCTCCGTACATTAACATAGGTATTATTATTGCAGTGTAGATCCAGGTGACCACACGGGATGAAAGACCCCATGCGCGTCCCACTGTTCTCCGACATTGCTTATATGCCACATATGCTCTTTTTGCTCTACTCTGTAGGTGAGAGTTTCTTCTTAGCTTCCTGTCGAGGATAGTACCAAGGTATTTCACGTCTTCAGAGAAGTTTAGTTTGGGGAGGTTTTGAGCCCGATAAACTTCTTTTCCTGGTGAAAAAGACCATCTCAGTATTCTTGGGATTAATCGACAGTGAGTGTTCCTTACACCATATTTCTATTAATTTGAGCCCATTCTGCGCTCTATCGCACAACTGAGGAAAATACCGTGTTGTGAATCGCGTTCTTGAATAAAATTCATATTGTGAAAGTGTATAATCATTATCATGGATAGAGTAACTAACGAATCAAACTACTTACCCAAATGAGCGCTGACAAATGATGCGGCAACTGTTCGTCTACAACACTCAAGTCCTGGGAAAACCTATTCAGAATATTGCCAATGAAGTAGTTATCAAAAAATGCCATCTTCGAGTGAATCACACTTTTGATCATCGCCCTGTGAATTCTGACGGAGGCGTCAAAAGCGAACTTCATCATCAGCACCACTTTGAATATTTCCAAAAAAGACGATGTGATTAGTAAGAGGGAATATATGTTCAGAGTTTTCGATGCCTGCCATTCCAGTTTTTCCAAATGCAAAGCCACCATGAGTGTTTTATTCAACCCCAGATCAGACGCTTGTTCTAGTAATTTCGAAAGTTTCGTGCTCGAAGAAATCAGTTCTTTCGTATGATTCAGTTTTTCAAAGTTATTTCCGAATAGTTCGGTGACGTTCACTTGCGGAATGGTTTCATTACGGAAGTAAGTTTCCTTGATATTTATTATGACAGCTCTTTGGTTGGTCCTGGAAAAAAATGTATTGTTTCATGTTAAAACTATTTTTTCGACAACCGTCCGGGAAGTAGTTACTTCTCAGCCCAGTCCGGAAAGTACCAGAAATTCAAAAACGAGTTGCCAATTCTTAGATGTATCGGTGAAACATCTGTATACCAAAAACTCACTCACACGGGACAGTATCTGAATCATGAATCCAACAGTCATCAATCTATGAAAAAGGTAATTAACAAAACTTTAGTGGATCATGCAAAGAAGGTTTCGAGAAGGAACTAGGCATCATCAAAAAAGATCTCCAATGGAATGGTTACTCCAAAGTAATGACGGAAGACAGCAAGAACCTCGTAAAGAAGAGAAGCCATCACAACCCTCAGAGGAAAATATAAGAAGAATTGCTTCAGATCCGGAAACACCAACCGCAGCAGCCTCATGAAAACCAGGCCACCAAACGGGGACTGCGATTCCAAGAATTGCATTTACTGGATACCCCGTGACTGCGGCAAATCCTATATCGGTAAAACTAGGAGACCATTGAAAATCCTCATTGCCGACCACAAGAAAAACACACAGCGAGGAGAAACCAGCAAATCGGGAATACCAGAGCATGTTTGGGCTCATCAACATAACATCAAGTAGCCCCATGTTGAGATCATCCACAAGGATGAACACTGGTTTAGGAGAAAGTTCGAAGAAGCTGCATATATGTTGTTCGATGACGCATTCAGGCAAGCTAGCGTAGAGATACGCAACATATGGAAACCTGTAATCAAGCGGATAACGATCAACTCCCGCCAAATAGTCAACTCCCGCTAAACCGATGAAGTGAAAAGAGGAAAGAGCGGAAAGAGCGGATAGGAGAAAGCACTCGAATGACCTTTAAATAGTCATCTCTCGGAGGAATAGTCCAGTCATCACCCGAAGACGATTGTGGCTGGTGGGTTTAAGTGGGGTTAAGTGGGGTATGGCCATCCCATACCCCACTTAACAGATTATTCGTGAATTACGAAAAAAAATGTCAATTCAGTCTGTTGGTAGCCACAGTTTTGGAAACCTTGAATTAGGAAATGCAGAATTTTTAAATTCACCAAAATCCAAAAAATCACACAGACCATAAAGTCATCAGAGGGCATTTTAATATACCAAGCATTTCAAAGAAACTGAATCCCCTCAGTATTAGCAATTGATCAAACTTGATATTAATAAGATACATACGCCGCTCAAAAATTTGGTGCAAGGCGGTTTCATGAGGTACTTCGCTCTTGAGGAGACGATTCCTGGCTGCACCACTAAACTTTTTTCCAGGTTCAGTTTTTGGATTAGGAGTTGGAGAGTTGAGAAGCTCTCATCCTGATCTAAACTTACAGGGAGGTCAGTTGAAGTCGTAATCTCGACATACATCTCCTCTGTAGACTCGCTCCTGAACTAAATTTACAGGGAGGTGATTGGAAGAATCCAACCTCATACACAAGTCAATAAAAAATTTCTCGAATAGTCAAGTGGAGTTGGAAGCTCTTAGCTCCTACCAAGCAACGTCTAAATTGGTAGAAAATTGTCTCTGGTCTGGATTCCTGGCCATACTGGCCTGGAAGGCAATGAGGCTGCTGACTCCCTTGCAAATGAGAGTGCTGCAAGCAGCTTTATCATACCAGAACCTGCCTGGGACTCCGCCTCACCCCTCGGCCTCACCCCTCGGCCTCGGCCTCACCCTCGGCCTTGTCTCGTTCCAGTTACGTGATTCTAATTAAAAAAAAGTTCATAGTTATAAGATGCGAACCCAGGACGTCCGCGTGGTAGACACTGTCCTTAACCTCTACACCAACGTAAGATATTGAAAATAACTGCGAATGATGGGTATTTACAGCTCAAGTTTTTTCGGGACCGAAATCATTTTATACACCTGATCGCATTTTTTTTATTTCCTTAGAATGTTAGAGAAGTTGTTATACGATTACAACTTCCCTAACATTCTAAGGAAATAAAAAAATGCAGTCATTACAACTTCTCTAGAGGTTAAGGACAGTGTCTACCACGCGGACGTCCTGGGTTCTAAATGTAAATTTTTTAAATTAAAATCACGTGACTGGAACGAGACAAGGGAAACGAGGGGTGAGGTGGAGTCCCAAATGGGGCCTATCGGTGATGCGGAGTACTAAGGGGAACGAGTTCCACGCTCTACGAAACTCATTCCATCCTGCGTTGATGACGTTTCCCCCACTCCCGTTTACGCTCGTATCGGCCTTGTTCATCTACTACAAGGTGTCTCACCATGTATGCATCACATTCACAATCGAACCAACTACAATTGCAGTCTCCGAAACGTAGATATTTTATACAAAAGGCTTTGTGATATATTACCAAAATAAAAATGTATAATAAATTTGTATTCGAAATAATTTTTTCTTTTTTATCTAACCTTACCGCCTTATGATAATATACCCTTAACAGAAATAGTAAACGCACGCAAAATGCTCGAAAACGCACGAAAAACGATCGAAAATGCACGAAAAACGGTTGAAAACGCACGAAAAACGATCGCACGCAAAACGATAGCACGATAACGGTCGAAAACGCACGAAAAACGATCGGAAATGCAAAACAGTCAAAAACGCACGAAAAACGGTCGAAAACGCACGCGAAACGGCCGAAAACGCACGCAAAACGGTTGAAAACGCACGAAAAATGGTCGAAAACGCACAAAAAACGATCGCACGCAAACCGTTTGCACCAAAACGGTCGAAAACGCACGCAAAACGGTCGAAAACGCACGAAAAACGATCGAAAACGCACGGAAAACGGTCGAAAACACACGCAAAACGGTTGAAAACGCACGAAAAATGGTCGAAAATGCACAAAAAACGATCGCACGCAAACCGTTCGCACGAAAACGGTCGAAAACGCACGATAAACGATCGAAAACTCAGGCAAAACAGTTGAAAACGCACGAAAAATGATCGAAAACTCACGCAAAACGGTCGAAAACGCAAGAAAAACGGTCGAAAACGCACGCAAAACGGTCACATGCAAAACGGTCGAAACTTATGCAAAACAATGTATTTTCAAATGTCATTGTCGACTATTTCGCTCCCCCATCGCCCTCACGTTGAGTCCACAACGCGTAACCCTCGACACTTTTGAGTCTCCTCTTTCTTCTGATTAACAAAGATACGAGACTTAGTGCCCTTTTGGCATGTTGGAACGCTACACTTCTGTTGAACCGACATGTTTTTTCTTAAATGATATATTTTGACCCACCCTTTACACTTCGACGCCATGTTTTTTTCTTTTAATGATGTATTTTGAGACACCCCGTACACAGTCGTATTCCTAACCCTCCATTTTAGAACCGGCAACGCTACATTACTCCATAAACAACAATTTATTTTATAACCGGCAACACCTGCTTGCGATAGGAACGTAAAATATCGATACCATCTCCATCTCTCTCTGCCTCAATTACGTCACACGCATCTCTCGCTCTTACACACACATACACATCTTTACATGAAATATTAATTATTTCCCGAATCTAAGTATATTTTCCTATCTTCAACTTGACAATGACGATTACATTTTACGGAAATCAAAAAAATGCTGTCAAGTATATAAAATGAGTCAATTTCGGTCCCGACAAAACAAACTCTGCCAATACCCATCATTTGCATTTATTTTCAATATCTTACGTTGGAGTCTAAGGACAATGTGAACCACGCGGACGTCCTAGGTTCGATTCTCATAACTATAAACTTCTTTCAATTAGAATCACGTGACTGGAACGAGACAAGGGGGCCGAGGGTTGAGGCGGAGTCCCAAAGGGGGCCTGAGAGGTGATGTGGAGTACTAAGGGGGCCGAGTTCCACGCTCGAATCGCTACGATACTTATTCCATCCTGCGTCGATGACGTCACACGTTTCTCTCTTCCACTCACTGAAGTTTCTCTCTGAAACACTTACCAGCGACGCACGACTTTGAAGGTCACTTCAAGACCTGCAAATTAGGCTAAGCGGACAAGTCAGCTGTGGCAGAACACGCACTTAGTGTGTTTGAAAACACATAACTAATTGCCCCCAACCAGGGATACCATAGCCGACTGGTACGGGAGGCAATAGAGATCCACAAACACACGGAGAATTTCAACAGAAAAGAAGAAGCGGTGAACCTTACTCGAATATGGAACCCCATTTTAAGGAATTCGAGAACCTGACAAGGAATAAATACGCTGTACAAAGCATAAAAGGTAATCATCGGACAGCAAGCCATGATGGTTAAACCTCTGAAGAAACTAGCCTCTCGCGCCAGCGAAAGGTCAGGAAGAAATTCCACGGCTTTCAAACTCGAAAAACAGTGACACAATCAACTACTGAATCACAAGACAAACGTAGATTTCAAAAATATATAAAAACAGATAAGAACGTATACAATGCCGGTTTCAAACCGTGAACAATATGTTTATCATTACCGATAACTGGCATAACTCAAGGTATATGGGGACTAATAATTATAATTAAGCATTCTATATCATTAACCAGAATATCTAATCAGGTGAATAGTTTTATATCAATTTCATTTCTACAAATAAATCATAATAAGATTGCTACGCCTCTCAGAAATCTGCAAGCCTTCTGCTTGAATATAGTGATTGGAACATGTAAATTAGTAACATGTGAAACAGCATGCGTACTCAGTAAGAACCCCCCAATACAATTGTGAATTTGAACACAAAACGCCATGAAGAACTTGACGAAAAGAGGACCTTCTTCTGAAGAAAATCTTCGCTCAATTGAATTCAATTATTGGCAGCTGACATGAAAGATCACCAACAAAATAAGTTACCTTCTTCATCAGTAAGCTGGGCCTATTTGGTCCAGTTTGAATAGCCTCTATGAAATATTGTAGTGGAGAGTCCAATAGATTCACTCAATTTGAATCTATCTACCTAGCCTAAGAGAACACTGCTAGTATCTCCTCTACTCTTTGCTGGATGTAGACCTGAGATGTTGGAAGGCCTTAAAAACATTATATCATTTATATCAGTACTCACCATTGACTCAGCATTTTCTGCGACGAGCTATCCGTGAAAGTCGATACACAATATGCTAGTACTATGAATCCCAAGAATAACCATCCTCCACCAAATTTCACGTATTTTGCATATATCGACAAATCCACCTTTCCTTCTTTCTTAACCTCATGGTAGATTTGTTTTCTATTTTTCTCAACCGCGACCAATAGTTGGGATTCTTCATCACCATCTTCATCCTTCACAAGGACATTTTCTTCATCCTTCGTCTCATTCGAAACCTCCATTTCAAATTCCTCTTCTTCAAATTCTTTTAAGATGTCTTCGGAAATGTCGATCTGTTTTCCTGCGAACTTAACCTCTCCATCTTGAAGAATTAGAAGCATATCCGCACCTGCGATATGTTTAGCGTTGTGCGTGACCAACAGCACCAGTTTGTCTTTCAGAAAACCTTTGATGCACTGGTTGTAGATTTGGTCTTGAACCTGGGGGTCTAGAGCCGTCAAAGCATCGTCGATGAGGTAGATGTCACTGTCTTTGTACACGGCTCTAGCCAAGTTGATGCGGGCTTGCTGCCCCTTACTCAAGTTCAATCCTCTGTCGGCTACAATGGTGTCATCTCCACTCNAAACCTCTCTAGCACTTCTAACGTCATCTCCCGAAAGGCGTTCAATTTCAATTTTCTCTCTTACGCTCAATCTTGCAGCCATGACACAAAATAATTCGAAGAACTGTAAGGTTATTCCAACAATTAGTGGATATAACACTCCAAAAGTGGGGCAAACCGCGGACACGTGTTTCTGGCTATTGGCCTCATCAGCGCGGTGCAGCCAAGTGTAAAGATGGACACTTATTTGCCGAAAGCAGAAAACAACACATATGCACGGAGTCAACAACCGGAGTCAACCGCACATTTGTGGTTCCAGTTAGAAGACCTAGAATTCCCAGGCTACATCTAACATGACCACGTAGGCAGCTAGGGAATTCTAGGTCTTCTAACTGTATATACCAACGGCCTGTATATACTTCACAAAAAACTCACCTTTCTATATCTTTTGTAGTCGTATTTCTCCCCGAACAGAATATTTTGCCTTATGGTAGAAGGAAAAAGCCAGGGGTCTTGAGAGGCATAGCTCTTTCTTCCCCTCGTTCGCAGCTCCCCCTCATCTATTGGGTAATCTTTCAGAATCACTTTCATCAACGAGCTCTTCCCACATCCCAACTGGCCTGTCAGAACATTCAGACCCACTCCCATCTTCGCGGTGATATTCTTCAGAATGTCTCGGTCTCTCAACTTCAAACTGACGTTTCTAATGTCAATCAACGGGTCATCATCAGGTTTATCCACCTGGTCGTCTTCAAGTTCTTCCAGCTGCAACACCCTGTCTATTCTGTTCAAGCAAGCCATCACTTCTGCAATTCTCGTGAAGCCCATCGAGAACGCTCCCCCTATGGTATGTCTCAAAGCACCAAAGTTTCGCATCAGGTAGAACACAGTTTCGACACTCATGTCTTCATTCACCCAAATATAGATCATAATTAATGCGTAGAATGAGATGTTTCCCATAAAGTGGTTCATACTCCACAGGCATGATTTTATGAGAGAAGTTTTCAAAATCGTTTTCGTTTCTTTCCTGAAAGTAGGAATAATAGCTGTTCATGTATCAAGCAATGAAATGATAGTAATAGAAGTATCAATCCTTATTGTCTAGATTAGATTCAAGTTTGCAACTTCGATAATATTTTTTAAAATAGTGAAGGATATACCACAGTGGAAACAGGTACTTTTAAAATTTGGCACATAATGTATAATGGAGAGTTGAGCATTATTTTTGTTCTTGCTCTGAGAGGTCAAAAAGTTAAGTGAGACTGTTAAAGAAACTATGGTAGGTACGTTGGAATTGATTTAAAAAGAACAATCCGTTCAGGTCAGTCTCAACTTCCTACACTGTAGGTTAATGGACTCTTCACTGAAGTTATTCCTGTATATGCTTTTGGCGATACAACTACCGCAATATATTTTCAATTCTTGGAATACATCGACTTCATATGGCGATTTAAGAAACGAATAGCTTGTCCATCTCTGCAAAGTCTTGGAATCTTGTAGCAAATTCGTTTCTAACTTCGGCCGGAAATTTTATAAACACTGCAATGTCTTCTTCAAAGTTCTTCCAAGAATTGTCGGAAAATGAATAAATTCTTGTCTTGCAATATCTTTTTGAAAGATATCCAAGCATGCGACGAAAAGCACATTTGAATATTTCAAAATATTATTTAGAAAGGCCTCGACCAGCAAATTACGCTTGTTTGTTATGAACTCAAAGTGATTTCTGGTTCCCTGCGTATCCAAGTTTTGCAAGAAAAAGGACACTTGTTCTTTTATTACCCAAAAACGTTAAAAAACTTGACTTTTACGTAGCCAACGAACATTTTTGTATTGTAGTAAGTTAGAAAACGCCAAATCANAGAAAGACCAATTCCACATTTGCAAACCATCTTTTAGCAGAAGGACATGAGTTCAATCATGAGTACAAGGTGTTACATTTAGAAGAGAAGAGTTTGAAACTTAATCTTCTAGAATGTTTAGAAATCAATAGATTCAGGAATTCGGGTAATTTACTGAATGATCAATTAGAACTCAATAACTCTTTCCTAAAAATCTGACACTCAATGCCAAAAAATCTTACGAAAATTGACATTTGTTCATCATCAACAATGTCACATGATTCATCAAGTGCCATGACGTAGCAGTGCCTTTTGCAGAAGTTCAAGAAGAGTGTTTTTAATGTTCGCATCTAAAATTTCAGTTCTTCGTGTATTAGGTATTTCTCACTGACAATGGAATACTTTCAATTGCAGGGACATCTTTTTTTTTTCTTCAAAAAGTGACGTAAGTACAGTCAACATACATTCCTTCACTATCTCAGAATCTGAAAATGGTTTCTGGTGTTTATTAAGCGTCCAGCACACACGTAAAGCTGTTTCTGTGGATTTTTCTTGGTCGCTCATGCAACGAACTAGTAATTTTGTACTCTGTTCGTATAAACTGAGATATGTCTGAATTTTTACTTTACGAGCGTGACTGCCAAGAGGAAAGTTTTTGTGGAATTGCTGACGAGTTGTTTCGTAGTGTAGCTTCAGCTTCAGCTTCAGCATATAAGGCACACTGGAACCGCTTGAGGCCTATCAGGCAGTGTAAAACAATATTTTTCAATCCATTCTGCAAAAAACCTTCTATTTTCACTGTCGACTTTTCGTTTTTTAGGGTCCATATCAACGTAGGTACCGAAAGATTTTTCATCAAACGAACAAAAACGACAGAAATCATAAAACAAATGTCCGGTTACTCCGTTGTTTGTGCTGCGACTGATGACTGGCAGTCTGCTTTCAGTGCTTTCCCACTCCCCCACTATGGATTTCGATAGGCGCTCGTGCTTGTTTCAACAAAACAAAACAGGAGCAAGTATGCCGAAGTAAGGCAAGTACGCGGTGCGCTGTGGAATGCTCCCGCACATATTTCCGAAAAAATGGTACGGATCTAGGGATATTTCGTGTGCATAACAGAGATTTGAAAATATTTAAATCACATCAGCCTGATTCGCACGCACACAGGCCTGCGATCCGACCCAAAAAAGGATCATTTTGGTTGCGCGAAAGCAAAGAAAAACAGACCTCGAAACGTGACTATTTGTGTCGATCGTTCAAATCGTGGGGCACCCACTTTTCAAGCTTTGTGACCTTTCCAATACACTTCAAACCATCCAAAATCGCATGGGAGCTGACGCCCAGTACTTTCTCCATTCCACGCATCGTTTGTGATGGGTCAGTCTCCACCAGGGTTCTCAAATCCTGGACTACTGCAGATTGACTACTTCGAGGCTAAAATCTCCAGAACGAAATTTCGCAAACCAATGTCGAACATTGCGTTCATTGACAGTATCATTGCCAAATGCCTGGTTGATTTTTCGGGTTGTTTCGGCAGCGCTTTGGTTCGAACTGAATATGTAGTGAAAAATTCGACTGAAATCGCTCAACGACAGTATACAGTAACAAGCCGGAAAGAGGCAAAAGAATCAAATTTATATAGTACGAAATTCCATAACGATCAATAAATATCACGACACAGTAGAATGAATATTCATTGAAATATGGATCTTCCACATGTCATTGAAACGAAAAAAGCTTCTGAAACACCCTAATGGTATTGATACGTAGATGAAAAGATCTACATAAGGCACTCACTACCTTAGAAGAATGGTAGAGCATTATCCTTCAAAGGTCGTATCCCCCTTCCCACCCCTTTGCACAGGGGGCTGTGCTCTTTCCCACGCTGTACTCTCTTTACACCAGTGACCTCCCGAAGTCCGAGCGTGTAAATATATCTCTCTACGCCGATGACACGGCTCTCCTCTCATCTTCCATGGGTCGAGAGCTCGGGATCGTCTACATGCAACGTGCATTGGACGACCTCGAGCGCTGGTACCTCGAATGGAAGATCCGAGTGAACCCAGAAAATACTCAGGCGATAACCATAGGAAGAACGATATCTTCTCCGACCAGAAAAGTGAGGATCTCTGGAAGGAAGATCGACTGGCAAGCGCGAGTAAAGTACCTCGGTCTCCTGATAGACCGTAGGCTCATTTGGAACCCTCACATTGTGTATGTTAAATCAAGGATCGAGGGTCGAATAGCTAGTCCGTACCCTCTGATCAACAGAAGATCAAAAACGAACCTTAAAAACAAAATTACTATCTACAACACGATGTTCAAGCCTGTCATCATGTATGCTTCAGGCGTCTGGGGACAAGCGGCTTCGTCTAACATCTCCATCCTGGAGAGATTACAAAATAAGCTAATACGGATGATTGTAAATGCTCCGTGGTTCATGGGGAATGAAGCCATCCACAGAGATTTGCAGCTGCATTCACGAAAACTCGTTAGTTAGGGAAGCTATTGATTATACTGTAGACGACCCCTTCCGATATAGAAGGCTCCAACACTCTGTCGAATGAGGCCCTCGTGTACCCCGGTTTCGGGTGAACAATGTTTTCATTCAACCCACTACAGCCAGGCAGGGGTACACCGTGAAAGGCGGTACTGATATCTGACGACTTTCATTCCGCCACGACCTCTTAGTCATGAACCCATTAGACAAAAATCAGCTAGAAGGGTAAGAAAGCTAAGCTCCAAGCTGGTTGAACTGAGGATGACTTTCCACCACCACCCCTTTGCACGTCTTCACAAGGAAATGGTTCTCGATGGAACATGTATTGTTGTTTCCCTCTCAATGTTTCAATATTTTTACCTCATACTCACTTTCTAGAATCTTCAATACTACTCCCGAATATGATTTCCCACGTATACATCTTGATAGTTCTTATGGTAGACAAGGTCTCCTGGGTTTTCTGCAATCTTTCGTCAGTTCTCTTATTCATTTTCAATCTCATTCTTTTCATTACAGACGCCACATATGCTGAGAAATAAGATAATATTTTATTAATGGGTATTAACAGTAAATATTCAACAGTAATCGTAAATGATTAATATGAAATTATATGCGATTGAATTGACCAGAAAAAATGAAAAAAGTGTGAAGACGGAACTGAAAATGGAATATTCAATCGTGAAATATGTTCATAGCAGCATCTCCATCAACTTTTGTATTACACGGTTCTACAAAAGAGCCCTAAAGCACGGTGTGCTTTAGGAATCTTGATGATTCCTCTTTTAGTCGATTGATGGTGGTTGGATTCGTGGTTCAAATACTGTCCCGTGTGAGTAGGTTTTCGGTATACAGATGTTTCCAATTTAGTGTCGGTCCTCTTCACCAATGCGTCTAAGAATGGCAATTCGTTGTGGACTTTCTTCTCCATTATGAAAGTGATGTAAGGACTCACGTTGTTGATATGCTTCAGGAAGGTGTCTAGTTCTGCATTCCCATAGTTCCATATTACAGTGGCGATCCCATTGGCAGTCCCTCATCTTGCGTAAAAAATCGTCCTTCTGTTGGAAGTAGCAGTTTTGGACGATACAAGAAAGTCACATAAGAATTAAAAGACTCCGATCACGGACATATTTGATGACAGAAGAAGAAAGGCAATCAGCTGGTAAAGCAGAATGTTTAATATGTGGAAAATTTTTCAAAATACGAGGATTGAAAATCCACATGCGAAAAGTTCATTCTAAATTAATCAATACTACAAGTTCCTATAAAAATTCCAATCCCGTTAATGATTTCGAAGAAGAATTTGGCCCTGGAAAAAAAGAAGTTCCATTTCATATCCATTTATCNTAGGAATTTCAAATCAATTTATATCATATTAGACAATTATTGTTTGTTGATATTATTACCTAATTGCGTCATTATGAAATTTCCTAGATTATGGAAGATAATTTGCAAATACGATGATATTATGGTTGGTGAGTTTAATGACTATTTTGACTATTTTTCGAAATTATTACAAGGTGATGTATTGGTACTTACTTTGTATTGGCAGCAGAGACAAGAGCATCAGCACGCCAGCAAGAGAAGTGATGCCAATCCTGTTATAAATGAGATAGCAGATGAAAAACGTTTGCACAATTGCAATCCAGAGATCATTGAGCAGCCAAATGGCTCCTTGAAATTGATTCACATCCTTGGTAATCACAGTTACGATATTTCCTGGGAACAATTTGAACTTGAATTATTATCTGTTCTTTTTTTATGAACTTCAATTTACAAAGTTCGGATGTGTAGGTTTCATTTAATTTTATCGAATTATATCTTACCGGAAATGTTTTGACCATGCAATATATATATATATATTCAACGGGTCATCATCAGGTTTATCCACCTGGTCGTCTTCAAGTTCTTCCAGCTGCAACACCCTGTCTATTCTGTTCAAGCAAGCCATCACTTCTGCAATTCTCGTGAAGCCCATCGAGAACGCTCCCCCGATGGTATGTCTCAAAGCACCAAAGTTTCGCATCAGGTAGAACACAGTTTCGACACTCATGTCTTCATTCACCCAAATATAAATCATAATCAATGCGTAGAATGAGATGTTTCCCATAAAGTGGTTCAGACTCCACAAGCATGATTTTATGAGAGAAGTTTTCAAAATCGTTTTCGTTTCTTTTCTGAAAGTAGGAATAATAGCTGTTCATGTATCAAGCAATGTAATGATAGTAATAGAAGTATCAATCCTTATTGTCTAGATTAGATTCAAGTTTGCAACTTCGATAATATTTTTTAAAATAGTGAAGGATATACCACAGTGGAAACAGGTACTTTTAAAATTTGGCACATAATGTATAATGGAGAGTTGAGCATTATTTTTGTTCTTGCTCTGAGAGGTCAAAAAGTTAAGTGAGAC